TCAACAATTCAGAAACGCAGCATGCCGAGATTTTTGTGTTCGTTTTTATTTGAAACTTCGTTTATTTAGAATATATTTTTGTTACCAATAAAATAAAAATCTCTCAGTCAATCAGAAACCCGGATTCATGCCTTCGAGGAGGTCCCGTTTGAACGCTCACATCGTTTTTTTTTTTCGTTTGGGGGAAAACTAAAACTGGTCGCAATTTTCGAATAAGAATGAGTCGGCAATTTTTAGTGAAGTCGAAAATTTGGAGGTAAATAAAACACCGAAACCCGGCAAATAAATAGGCGGTCGAATTTTTAGAGGGGTAAAAATCTGTTCATATTAATTCCCTAATAAGCATAATAATTCATAATTTTTTGGTTCTAATCACATTTCAATTAAACTTGGAGACATAGATTTTCTGTTATATTGCGCAGACCTCATTAGTTTTACACTCAAATCTGGTCATATTAATTTTCTGATTTGCATAATTAGTTTTCAGCTAAGTAATTTCGAATTATATTTAATGTGTCTCCAATACTCTCAGCACATGGGAGTTCTTTCTAAGCTTTCTTTGATTCATTATTGGAAGTTATTTGAGAAGCAGGTGTAATGTGCAGGAATATTTTATAATTGCACGACTTCGGAATTGCATCGACAACACGAGACCACTTCAAAAATACAAATGTAATACAATATTTCCAAAACTATTTGTCAAGTTTTCCGAACAAATAGTTTCACTTTTTCTCACTGTGAACAAATAAAAAAAACTATAAATCAAGAAATAAGTAAAACATTGTCATTTGGTTTCCGAGAGTCACAGCAATAAAACTGTTCGAGGACAAAATAAAAGAAAATCTTCCAATGTAGACCGTCATATTCATTCTTAATATCAATAACACCAAAATCAATATACATTATTGTATCTCGCCATCTTTGAAAAAGCAAAGTAAAAATTCAGATACCTTGCCACTAAAATGAAATTCCACGCTGTTCTGACCGGTGTTTCTAGAGATGTAATCAAGTGCCGAAACAAGTAGAACACAAACCACTTTTTCCAAAAAACTTCGCTATTTTTAACGGTTCAATTGTTTCTTTCTGCACAGGATGCATCTATTTACATTGGTATTGGCGCTGTGTCTATGTGAGGTTAACTCTGCCAGACTAGGCCACACACAACCGGTATTGTTCTATAATATTTATACAATTACATGTGTAAATAGCATTTATCAAAGCAAATATTTTTGAAACTTGATATATTCACAAACCACTCATTAATATTTATGAACTTGTTTTTTATTATAGCACATCTATAGTCGTCAAGACAATGGTAAGTTAATTATTTATGAAAATGCACATCTTTACATTATCATCATTTTATTATTTCAATAGCGATATAAGTTGCACTTGTACTGATAACAAGGTAATCAAACCATACTGTATTGTATCTTGCTAATACAAAATCTACGTTATTTATTTGGTTTCCACAGAATGCGTTACAGTGAATTCCCCGAACTACTACAGCCCTCAGTATGTAACAGATGTTTCAGGAGTCACTCGTCTCGACTTTGAAGTTAAAGCAGACAGCCACGCAATTATTAGTTTATCAGCACAACCGAACGATTTACCAGACATGTACCGAATTTTGCTTGGTGCAGGGTATATGTCTTCATCTTTGATACGTCGAAGGTATGAAGGTGAAGCCATGGTGCAAGTCTGGACACCTGGTATCCTATCGCCGTCCGAGTTCAGGAAATTCTGGGTGACCTGGGACAGCGGAATAATCAGAGTGGGCAAGTCTGGGGAGAACACCCCCTTCATGGAATGGACTGATCCGAATCCACTCGCTGTCAACTTCGCTGGATACGCAACTAATTTTGGAAGTACAGGGGTATTTCAAATATGCACTGCAAATGGCAAGTACGCTTTTGTTATTTTAGATGTATCGCAATTTTATTTTCATTAATTGTAATATAATAAACACCAAAGGTGCTTTTGGTTTTATGACATAATATATTTAATTATATTGCTTTGAGATATGGCATAATATCTCTGTCATAGGAACCCATGATAAAAGCACTATAATACATGTACTGCCCAAATGGCAATTATTCACTAAAATAAAATCATCATTTTCGGGAAAATCAAGCAGGTGACCCCAACTATTCTTATATTGCCCGGATGTACAATTTATTTGAAAATGAATAAATTCTGGGTTTATGAAATCGTGAGTAGGTTTCTACCTTAATAGTTGAGAAGAAATACTCAGCTAAGCTCAAAGTTCATCCACTGAGTATTCCTCTGAGCATTACCATATACAGTATGTCCAAACATTGTTACGTTATCCACACCAGATATTATTACCATTACTTAACATTTGTACCAGGTGCTTCCCGACTTGATTGTGTTTGTGGGTTTATCAGCACTGAAAGCCGATTCACAGACATGTACGATTGTGATTATGATTGGTGAATGATGGCACAAACATGTATTTGTATTTAGCCACAAAACATTTTATTTACATTTTACTGAAATGCAATTTTGTGGTTTAGTGACAAGGTAGCTTTTCTATGCAGATTGGCAAACCCAAACAATTTTGTTTATTATTAAACCCAGACAATTGTTTTCAAGTGGCTAGTGTACTATATTTGTGAACATTTACGAGCGGACATAATAATCGGATAGTCGTTGAACGTGATCGAGCCGAGACATTACGAGCAGATTGCACATAATATTGATCATACACAACCTTGGAATACTTGTACTTTCAGTACATATAATAAACATCCCTATACTTCCATAACCAGTTGAATATCCAACAAACAACCTTTGATTATAACATTGCTCCATATCACCCAGATTTCCATGAATTTTGTTGCTGATAGTATGTAGAATAGATTGAATCAGGTAGATTTTTTACCCTAAAATTATGAACATAATATTTTGTTATTATGATCTTAAATAGACGCGCGTTATTGTAGAATGTGCCCACTGAAAGGATATCAGACAAGGGGGCACCAATAACCGTACTGGCTATTACATGTAATTATCGTATATTTTAATCGACACATATTATTACAAATCATTAAATGTTATTATTTAACTTACAGTAGGCGGTGGACATGGCGATCCACATATGACGACGTTTGACGGATTGAAATATAACTTTCAAGGATACTGTACATACGTACTTGTAAAGAATTGTGACTCTCAAGGGAAGTTTGAAATCACAGCTGATGTTCGTGGACGTAGAGAACCGACAAAGCCTCCAACAAGAATGGTTGCTATCAATATATCTGCTATAGGAATACCAACAATACGTTTACTGGAGGACAACTCATTCATGGTAAGTCTTTCTACTTACTTATATTTTGTGGAAGCTGTGCAATTTCTTTAAATACATTGACGGTGAACCGATTTAAGGCTAGATATTAAAGCCAACACATGGAGATCTTCATACGAATTCAAAATTGAAATGAACAATGCCATTATCCGCTTTTATAAGCAGTTGTCTAGTCTAGTCCAATACATCTCATCAAATTATTTCAATTAATTCAAATTAAAATACTGTTTTACCAGCAATATCTATATTTTTGATTTTCTCTATGAACGACTACACCATTCCACCAACGTTGTGATATTCTTCATTCTTACTTATAATAGTACTGTCAAAATAGTAAATGTCTCTGAGACCCACGTGGTCGTCTCCAGTGTAAATCCCATACACAATTCGTGGATATCGAAAACCCCATTATCTTACAACTTGGACGTAACTACCAATGCTTCCGTAACAATTGAAAAACGTGACACACTATGCTGATAAATATGACACACTAAATTTACTCTCGCATGTTTTAACCTTCATTGCTGTCATTCTTTGTCGGCAGCGGCGTATTAATCAACTTTTACTGTTGCTGGTAATGCCATGTAAATGTAAATGTAAATGGATATAATACAGTAAAAGATTATACTTATTACAATGACTTGCCTTGGACATAAATTTTATTCAGGTGATGTTTCGGTGTAAATGAGCACCTTTTCAAACCTACAAATAAAATACTTAAACACTTGTGGACTGGAAATATCTATAAAACTTAAAGGTTCAATACATGGGCTAGAACTTACCTATATAGTGTGTGAATATCTTGGAATATGTAGTAAGTAACAACAATTATTTACATTTACAACGCTTAGATTGGAGGTAAACTGCATCGTGGTAGTAACTTTCATTCGGAATTGGCATCTGTGATTTCAAGCAGAGACAATGTCATCGCCAGGTTAAGTAAACCTAAACTGTCTGTGATTTGGAATGGTAAACCCCACAAAGTGCAAGTTGTGTTGAATGGTAGAGAATTGGCTGGTACTGTCTGTGGGTTGCTGGGTAACGCTGATGGAGACACTACTAATGACTTCATCAAACCAGATGGCGATCCAGCTTCCAGTGCTGAGGAGTTCGGTAACAGCTGGGCTGTAAAGAACAGGTAAGATGTTAGGTAATTAATGAACTTACCAATTAAGTTAAGATTGGGCTTTTCCGAAGTACTAACTCAAACTTACCGTTTACTAGTCTGTGCTGTATTCAGATTCTGATTATGTATCAATTTAAAGGTAATCGCCATAGATGGATTATGATATCGAAAGATTTACAATATAATGATTTTATAATGATTTCCAATTATTTTCAGTTGTCCATAACAAATATTAGGCAGATGTTACAGTCCTGTTCTGAATCCCCTCATCTATTACTACTTAGCTCTTCTATCAAGTAACATTTATTAAACGAGGACTTCGTTGGTTATTTTTTTCTCAAGCTATTGCTTCGATTATGAAATGGCATTAAATAAAAATTGTAGTTTTTCAATAGTGGAAATGTGGACAATAAAATGGGAAATTTGCATAATTGATATCATAATTTCGTGTATATATTACATGGTGTGATGTGAGATTACAAGAGATTACTAGTATGTGAATGAAAAGCACACATGTTTAGTTTTATACAGCGGAGTACGTGTCAACAACATTTGGAAAGTACATATCCTGTCCCTCTGTGTAATAATGGTATTCCCTAGTAAATGTGTATGGTGATTGCAAAACACTTTGGAATGCACTTGGAAGAGTGTTGTTATCAATAGGAATGATATAATATTGCGGTTTCTATTTTAATTATTGCTCGAAAAATACATGTTGTGAATTTTTATCAATTCAGACCTCAAATAAACAGCCATACACATTTAGTTATGTCAAGAAATATTAAATTATCAAATTTGTTGACCTTTGATCGTTGGTTATGTCTCGATCGTAGATAACAAGACACACGGATATAAGTATGTATTTATTGCGAACTTGCCGACGAATTCATTCGAGTATAAACTAGAGTGAATCTGTCATTAAGTATCGTAAATTGTTATATATAATTTCCGGCTAATATATTGTAGGATAAGATTGTGTATAACATGCGAAATATTCGGTAAATTAGACAGATAATAGTCTTGTATATATGGCGGAGTCTTATGTCTTATAAAATCCAGATCCATCACTCCAGTGGAAAATAGAACCTGTCAAATATGCTTAGATGCAGTTGAAGATGAAACTCATTTTCTAGTAGTTTATCCAGCATATAACCATATTCAAAAACCGCTTTTTGATCGAATTAACCGCATTGAACCACAATTCGAGTTCTTCTCGTCTATCAGTAAACTTACATATATTTTTTCTCAGGATAACCATGAAATAATCCAAATTCTTGCAAGATTTGTATACACAGCTTTTCAGATTAGATATAATTTGTTAGTGTGAGTTCTCCAATAGATGAGTTGTATATGTATATGTGTGTGTATGTATAATACTTTACTATTTTATTGAGGCGATTAAAGTCACGCCTGTAACTTTAGCATCGTAACCTATTCCCCCAGGTTAGTGGGGTATATTTCTTTAGAGAAATGGAAATAAAATAATAATAATATAGTTCTTGTAATATCACTGAAATTACCATGACAGATAGTATCGGAGTTTTTTTGTCACATGTTAATCAAACTGAACTTTTTATATTTTATACAATCTATATGTATATCCATTATTCTACGAACACCTTGGAGCTCTGTGATTAATGGAACATGATTAAAATAGTAGTCAGAATTAATTACCCACATTGTTGTGATGACTAAATTTGCATATTTGCATGTATTTTAAATAGTTAATAAATCCCATGAATAATAAATAGATTTAAAACATTATAAGATGCTTTCCTATCATCCACTATGTACTGGACGTCAAAATATAGTCAAAGAATATTTCAAGACCATTAAAATATAATGCAGCAACTCCATTATTCATCTATTGATATGCAAATGAGTATATATTTTTGTTTTTAATTCTGAAATCCAAATAGTCAATAAAATGAGTGCTATTAATCAGGCACTCCTCAGATCTTCCTACTTTTTAGATGATAGATGTAATATATAATTGGTATAATTATAAGGATTTTGTTAAATACACTCATTCTAAAGATTTTACTATCTGCCGTCACCGGCAGGGATGTGTCAAAAGCAGTCGTTTGTATAATCTACATTTACACTCGGGTGTAGTACTTCGTAAGCTTCGTTGTTTTTG